ATTGATTTTACTCCCGTCGAAAAGAGGAGAAGACGAGTATAAGATCCCTAAGTCCAAATCTTTATCTTTCGGTAACAAACGGGGGAGGGGAGCAATAAACCTAAAATGGTACGCTGCATTTTCAATGCTTATACGATGTATATATCTTTCCAAAATAAGTTGGGGGGGGGGCTTAGCCCCCCATCCCCTCCCCTGGCCCTTCGCCCAGTCTCGATGTTTATTCTATACTCAAAGCATATTTACCTAACTGGTATGACGTTGAAAACTTTCAATAATAAATGAGTTAATTAAAACAGATGAAAACTAGAAATTTTTAAGTACAGTAAAAAGTATGAGAGAGAAAGAATTTTCATAGTTTTGAACAATCAAATTGGCCCCTTCTTATTATGATAAATGCTAAGTTGCTAGAAGCTGTCCTCTGTTAGTGCCCCCTATACACCTTTACATCTACTTATTAAAGACTAGAATTAAAAAAAGAAGAAGAAACGAATTAATGAACTTAAACAATAGTCACTCTTTTTTAAGACCCTTTAATTTTCCCTTTTATTTTATCAAAACCTAAAATATTTACAACGTCAATATCTCAGGTCCTACAGTGACTTTATCATAAAAAATTATCAAACCAGGATCTGTTATATATCATACCGATTATTTGAAGGAATATTGATCAATCTTTACATTTTTTTCAGAGTGCGTCAATATGGTCGATATTAACGCACTTTGAAAAAAAAAATATATTTTTTTCAAAGTGCGTTAGCTTGGTCCCAAATTTTAACGCACTTTGAAAAAATTTTTCAAAGTGCGTAATTTTTCAAAGTGCGTTGTAACAATGCATCCCATATATGTCAACTTGAGGCAGAATAGTAATAGTTACCTTGCATTAAATGTTCAAAACAAAATTCAAGAAGAGAAATAGTTTTTTCTATGACTTTCTTAGAGTTGTGCATTTTCACAGCATGTTCATTTCACCACGCACTAGACATATTTAAGTCAGAAATATCTGACGTTTTCCAGGCTTTTTCACGATTTTGATATTTTACGTGGCAGGAACACCTCAGAATCAGCGCCATAACTGGGAATTTCGCCGTCTCCAACCAGAGCATATTTTCGATAAATTGAACCAAATTGAATGTCAAACACAATGCCTTTAGTACAAAAAAATACCGATGAAACGAAAATATCACTCCATATTTCGATACAGATCCTTCAGATTTTAAAACGCTTGTAATATAATCAAAGCTCAACGGTATTGTCTTTTATTAATATTCAATCTGAAGCTGAAAATTATTACATGACAAATAATCATTTTCAACTTAGATTGAAAATTAATAAAAGACAGTATGATAACGTATTTCTACCGGACTGAATATTTTCTAATATACCAATAATAAACTATGACAGTGAGTACTAAAGGCATTGTACCATTTATAAATTTGATAAATTGTGAATTCGGCATTTAATCCGGTTCGCAAGTATCAAAAATTAACCCGAGAATGCCGCCTCCAGGTGGAAGCGGCGAATTCCCAGTATTTGATAATAGTGTTCTGAAATTTAAAATATCAAAATCCTGAACAGGCCTGGAAAACGTCAGATATTTCGGACTATAGACAGATTTTACCATCTATACGGAAAAGGAAGTAGTTATATATACATGTATATATCAGACAATGTTCGGTGCATACATAATTACTTCCTTTTCCGTTTAGAGATATCTGTTCGGGACCCATGTGACATGCAGCTGTTTTTGCTCAAGTGAAAAAAAATAATAAACTAACTATATGAACTCGATATATATACCTTTAACTCACGAGTTGTCGATATATGCACATCTGCTGTTAATTTCCGTTTTTGGCGTAATACTTTAATTTTTTGAAAATCGATAACTTTTATACAAACATCATTCATTTGCATCTTCGCTAGCCAAGGGTTTCTGATAAGCTACTCTCCACATGAATCCTTGGCAAACGGTGTTGATAGAAGTTGTTTTTTTTTTTCTCGAGTTCTGATTGGGATTCGGTACACCCGCGGTCGACCAATCAGCAATTGTTTTTTGTAAATGACGATATTTGCGTTCTGGATACTTCTGACTCTTTAATATCGGAAATGAAAAACTCAAGTAAACAACGATCCGTAAGATAATATGCAATTCTATGAACAGATATGGTGTCATCCAATATCTTCTAAATATGTGATTAAGAATCTATAATGAAGCTTACGATTTGTAATTTAACTAGTAAATAAACATAACTCAATTATTGCTTCTTAATTATTCTTAAAAAAAAAAAAAACTTTGATTTATTTTTTTTATCACGCGTGTCTATTTCTGTCGATGAGGCAATCTGTGCCTACCTGATAGATTCGAGATCACGTGACAAACACAGTGCGGTCTTTTGACTTCACCATATGCCAAGGGTCCATGAGGAAAGTAGCGTTTCAGAAACCCTTGGCTAGCGAAGATGATGCATTTGACGCTTTAAAAATATGCAAAACACATGTATACCATTTTATAGTATTTTAACATATTTCATTTTCGATCACTATTTTCTTTACTACAATTCAAAGAACTGAAGGTTTTTCATTATCAATCAGCAAATAATCCATATCGTCTACATAATGAATTCAGAAGCCACTAGGATACGTTAGAAAAAAAGAATAATGCCGAATATTGATTGTATTGCCGCCAGAAAAATTCAGAGAGTTTGGTGGTAACCTTTAGTTCTTATTATCATTTCTGACTACTGCTTTGAAATTTATTTTGTAAAAATCCCTTTTATGCAGGCATTTTCTTCATTGTACGTTGAATGTCAAAATGCTAACCATATATTCATACTTCTAGCAAATGCATACATAAACATTTGTTTTTAATTCTCAACTACAGAATATTATATATGAACCAGTTTTTACATTAACATAATTTTCATAAAACGTTAAAGAAATTAATATTTGTTGTGCTGACGTACGATTTTACGTACGATTTTTTGATTATGTACGATTTTTATGAAATTTCAGAATCTAAATGTAATATACATGTAGATATGGTTCTTAAAATTCATTTTGGTTGTTTGAGATGTTAAAGAAATAAAATACGTTCATTTTGTTCCATTTTTATGCCCCCGTAAACGAAGTTTCGGGGATATATAGTTTTTGTCGTGTCCGTCTGTTTGTCTCTCTGTTTGTCTGTTTATCCGCAAAAACTTTAACCTTGCCCATAACTTTTGATTAAGTGCAGCTATGACTTTCATATTTCATATGTGTATTCCTTGTGAGAAGAACTTTCTTTGGGTACGACCAAATTTGACCTTTTGACCTTGACCTTGGAGTTTGACCCACTTTTACATGAAAATTTTAAAATTTTACTTTGGCCATATCTTTTGAACAGTAAACACCAGGACATTTATACTTCACATATGTAATGTTTATTAAAAGACCTTTTACTGGATACCAACAACCTTGACCCTTTGACCTTGACCTTTTTGATTTCCGTACTTGTGAAAAAACTTTAACCTTGGCCAAAACTTTTGCACGGTAAAGTATGGGGCTTTCATACTTCATATATGTAATCTTTGTGAAAAGTCACTTCATTGGATACCAAGAACTTTTACCCTTTGACCTTGACCTAAGAGATTGAACTACTTGAAAAAAGCAAGCTTGACCATAACTTTTAAAGAGTTAGGGCTAGTGCTTTCATACTTTTATTATATATTTGATCCTTATAGCAAGACTTTTCATTTGATAACAATAACTTTGACCCTTTGACCTTGACCTTGGAGTTTGACCTACTTTTTAAGAAATTGAACGTTGGCCATAACTTCTGAACGGTTAGGGCTAGGGCTTTTATGCTTTATATAAGTATTTTATGTGGCAAGACCTTTCATTTGATACTCATTACATTGACGTTGACTTTGGAGATTTTTGTACTTATTAAAAAACTTTAAAATTAGCTTACTTTCAAATTTCACAATATTTTTCCAGTGAGAATACCCTACTTTTGGTACAAATGAATTAAATTTGCATTTAAGAAAACCTTAATCTTTGATATGTTCCCATATGGGGGCATCAGTGTTTTACAAACACATCTTGTTTTTTTTATATTAAAGGTGTTTTTTTTTTCAAAATCTGCGGACAAAATGATGGGTTGGTGAATTTATTTTGGATTAGTTTTGGGTGTGAATATGTGCTCTAAATTTGGTTACAGTATGACGCGAAATACATGTAAATCCAAAAGTTAGGAAATAAATATACCAACTTTTAAATGACCCTCGCAAAAATTTAAGGAATACATTGATTATCAAATGGTACCAGTATATGTAATTCATTCATATTTCGTTTTGCAAGTGTAGTAACTAAACTCTCTAAAGGCAAAATTTCAAAGTCCAAATTGATTGGTCAGATCTGAAAAAAACTAGAGACATACATGTGACTATTGACTTCTTGTTTTGCACTGAATAATCTAGTCAATTCTTAACATGCTTAAGAGCATAATTATGAATGTTGCGTTTGAAATAAAAATTTACGTAGTTTTACTGAGAATGATATATAATATGAATATAAAACGCTACTTTTCAGATGAATTGGCAACAGGTCATACAGCAAAACAAAAGTCCATTTACTTTTGCACCTCTAATAATTGTCATAACTACGTGGCGGGAAACGCCGTAGATGGAAACATAAGTACATGCATGAGAGCGAATATTGTTCAAAATTCATTCGACTGGTGGCAAGTGGACCTAGGAAATATACACAGCGTGTACATGATACGGATATTGTTCAGAGATTACAACGAATACGGCGACTTTGGTTGGTTAACAATTTGCTTTACTGAAATTCTGAAATATCATTTGCAAAATTAAATTTATTTTATGTCAAGATTAATCTCTTGATTGTACATCTAGCTAGCTGAGATTAGGTGATAAAAACCTGAATGTGTTGAGGTTTATTAAATATCAAATTTAACAAAACCATGCACCGATATTCTTTCAGTGAAGAGACAAAGGGGACGGATGGCCGGGTTCTCCTTGTATTTATCAAACACATCAAAAATTAAAGATGGATTACTTTGTTACAAAGATGTACCTGAATTACCTCCTTTGAATTTCACCACCAAGTGTGTGGGATTTGGTCGATTCGTCACTTTTTACAACGAGCGATGGTTCTCAAAGAAATATCCAGATGATTACAATTTTCCGTTGACTGAATTATGTGAAGCAAACGTGCAAGGTAATGTTAAAGGAACATCTAAAAAAGTTAAATGTATTATCTGAAAACAGTTGAAACAATTACAAGCTGAAAAGTTAAGCCCTTTTTATTTTCATACCCCGCCCCGAAGGAGGGGGATATACTATTGACACTTTGTGTGTCTATCAGTCTGTCTGTGGTTTGATGTGTTTGTCCCTAACAAAATATTCATTGAAGGTGTTTAAAATTTAGCACAGTCTTTGTTATTGTATTTCATATAGCGTGATTTCTTTTGTAGAATTAAATAGCAATCTTCAATTCATCTGAGTGTCTTTCCATACCGAATTTTCGTCACAGTTTTTGCAGCACCTATTCATCACAGTTGCTTGTTTAGAATCCTCATTTAGATTAAAATTATGGGCTGTGATAATGTGTAACATATAGCATGACTCTTTATTTAGACATGCTATATGGTACAAATTATCAGAGCCCGTATTCAAAGCAAAGTTCGGATCGTACTACAATTAATCAATGGCTCACAGACTTTTTTCGTTATTTTGGGGAAAGGACCTCAACTCCATTAGATTTTCATAATGGTGTTGAGGAATTACACTCTTGCGCAGATTTAGATTTAAGTTATGAAAAAAAAATACTCTTTCCGAAACTCCAAAAAATTGAAATGCAAAAAATAAATTGACCTAAAACGATTATTGATGTATAAATATATTACAGTTATCTGCTGATATGAAGTTTCCTTTTATTAAAAGGTTGTAATGCCTCGTATAAGTATGGTTCAGAATGTAATCTACCTTGCCCGAAGAATTGTCAAGATCGACATTGTTACATTACAAATGGATCCTGTTTAGGATGTAACGCTGGATGGACGGGAGAAACGTGCAATAAATGTAATGTATTTATGATGAATAATATCCATTTGATATGCTTTGGCTTTTTTTAATGATATCATTTATAATAATGGATGGTTATAATAATTTTATAATAGAAAAATCAATTTCATTATACAAATCAATATTCATAATGAATAATAATGAAAGGATTGATACATGTTGAGCATAAGTAAAATTTCTTAACAATTTCCGAGATCATTAATATGTTTAGTATAACGCCCTTTCTAATTTTAACGTTTTTTCTTTTATTAAACTCTAAATTCTTTAGATGACATGACTATGATTATGAAGCCAAAAGTATATCAATATTAAGCATGCTAGAACCTAGCACTTACTTTATATTTCGTAGCTATTTTATCTGTGGAGTATAGTATAGAAACAAATGTCAGGCCAAAATGTCTTAAGTCAACTTGTATGAGTGGGGACGGAATCCTGTTGACTAATGCAACTCCGATACCTTGTCAGTTGTCAAATTCTCAATGAAACTTGGGAATCAAATGGTATGATTCCCTAGGAAATCGATATGAAAAGTCGTTTTTTTTTATTTGGTGTATTTACGTTTTTGTAATGTTAGATCTTTCAATTAGTTGTATTTACTTTTTAAGAACCCTCTCTTCACTTCACTCTAAAAAGTTCTGCTTTTATTGGGGTTTTTGTCAATTAGAGTGATTTGCCTTAAGTTCTAACTCTAAAAAAATTAAATCTACATTATATGTCACAACTTGTAATCAGTTCAAGAATTCTTAACATTTTAAAAAGGCAAAATAAATAAATTGAGCATGATATTTACATGTACTTTTTCCGTCTGAGTGAAAAAAAGTAATTTCTTACACAGATACTGTGTTGTGTTAGATAATTTTTCCTGGGGTAAATGCCATGTACCATACAGTGAAAATTAAATCAAGAAGCTTAATATTAACAACTTTATAGAATAAATTTTCTCAATATACACAGCACATTTTGCACCGGTGTAGATAGGGTACTCATCACTTTCTTGAATATTATATTTACAATTAAGCCTAGAAACATGTTTCGAAATTTCTGAATTGTTTATTTTTTGTGTTTTTGTATTAACTTTTGCATTTTTTTTATACTTCTTATCATTGATTTATGCATATCCTTTCTAAGCATGTGCCCCTGGATCATACGGAATTGAGTGTAAACATCAGTGCAAAGGTCACTGCATGAACAATGTACCTTGCAATCACATAACCGGTAAATGCGACGGGTATTGCGAGTATGGATGGTTTGGAATATATTGTGACGAAGGTAAATACTTTTCAGTGATCTTCATTCTGAGTAATCTAAGTAACAAACATACAATGTAAGATGAATCTCAGTAAATAAACTGATAAGTGACTTAAATGCCTAGAAAGGTCTTTCATTTTTTAAAACTTAAGTGAACTACACTTTCTGTTAATTAAATGTTAGAGTTTTATCATTTTAAACTATTTTTTTTATTATAAATCAAACTGTTGGGAAACAAACATTATTGAACACCTTTTTAAAATTTTTCGAGGGGTTGATGGTCCTCATCAAAGCTCTTGAAAAAGTCATACAAATCAAGATGTAAATCTTGATTGTGTATAAATGTGCAGAAAATCAACTGAACCAAATAAGGAATTTTACAATTTATAATGTTCTTTTCTTCTTTGATTTCACTAATATCAAAGGTAACTGTTATAGCAATTTTTTCAGCTTGTCCTTTTGGAACATACGATGTACATTGCCGGAAGAACTGTAGTGGAAGTTGTTGGAATAATAGTAACTGTAATGTCGTGACAGGAAAGTGTGACTATGGATGTAAACCACGTTACCTTGGAGAGTATTGCAAAAAAGGTATGGACAATAATTACAGAACCTGTCTATGAAAGACATTACTTACACCTTTGCTTTTATGAAAAATTATCCGGATTAAATATTCCGGATTATAGACTTTTTAACAACTGAGTTTGATTGATGATGGATTCCAATTCGAGAATTTTTCACTCATGTAGAGACGTCAACATATACTGGTGAAGGTTTTTGAAATTTTGAGCTTTTTTCGGCACTCACGGCTGTTGAGCAGCGAGGCTTCTTTATCGTGTCTACGCTTGTCGTGACACAGGAACTCGGTTTTTAAGGTCTCATCCGAAAGACCCGCAACTTTTACTTCAAGTGCCGAGCGCATGGCGAAGAAACAGATGCTACCTATGTTTTGTCGGTTTAGGTCAGTTGCATCCGAGATTCAACCTCAAGACCACCCGTTCACGGAGCGAGCGCTCTACAGACCGAGCTACTGTAAACGATGACAACTAAATTTAAGGGAAGGGACTAAACCTAACACTATTGACAAGATTTCGGAATAGATAACATCTGAATTTGACGAGATGCACCGTAATCAATGGAAGCATAAAGAAATAACTTACATGTAGCTATAATATTTCGTTCTCTATCTCCATATGTTTCATCCTATGATAATTTTAAATTAAATTAAATTTCTTTTTTACAACAGAGTGTTCACCAGGAATGTTCGGAAATGCATGTAACAATAATTGCAGTGGTCAATGCATGCATGTAAACAATAAAACGTGCCATCATGTTGATGGAGTTTGTCTTAAAGGATGTAACAAAGGATTCCATGGGAAATATTGCGACAGAAGTTTGTATTTTTTTTAAATTTGAATTTCAATTTAAAGTGGCATGTTTCGGTAGATAATGTACGTCCTTGTGTTGTACATTGTACCATCTCAAGCAGTTGTATATACATTAACATGGTATGAAACTAATTATAGTTTGACCTTCCGGTCACTTTGGATTCAATTGCTCAAAAACCTGTTCCAGAAATTGTATAGACAACTGTTCGCATACAGAAGGATCATGTACATGCGCACCCGGTTGGATGGGCTCCCCAAATTGCACAACAAGTAAACGAGCAAATTTAATATTTTTATCATTTATTTTACGAATATGTTTACCTTAAGTAATTCTTGACGTTTTATATGCCTTTTTATGAAAAAATGTCTTGATAAAGAAAAAAAAAACGATAAACGAAATCATTTCTTATCTAGACATTGATATCATCAATAATAAAAAGTTAACATTAACAACTGTAGTACGTATTTAAATTTTAAGAATGTGCATCTGGGATGTATGGAAGAAACTGCCAATACACATGCAGTGGACATTGTGCACATGATGAAATCTGTAGTAGATTTGATGGACATTGCTCAATGGGTTGTAAGGCACCATATGTTGGACTGACCTGTGACTATACGAGTTAGTTGCATTTTGTATTTTGGAATACCGGCATTTTAATTTATATATATATAAAAATCAAAATAAGAAATAAAAAGCATTTAATAAATCAATGATAAAAATAGCTTTACAATTTGTATGAACACGTCAGTTAACTTTCGACTTAATGATGAACGTGACAATGTCATGTAAAAATTGCAAAATGTTGCCATACATGTTACATCGCTGTTGATACCCGCATTTGATCAAATTGTTTTTTCGGTAGTTTGGCTTGTTTTAGAAAATTTCTTATTCTGAGCATGCTTGTATGAAGTTAAAAGTAAAAAAAAAAACAAAGTTGACGATAAAAAAATTAAATCATTACATTTTTCATAAATTTTAAAGATGTAAATGTGTTACTCAGTAACAATTAATGCCTCTGGCATCTTGTATTCAAGTTACAATTTTTAATAAATATCTTTCGATTTCGAAGCAACAGCAAATATTTTCTTTTCGTTTTTCTAACGAATTCTGCTTTATATGAATACCGGTATAAAAAATAACCCTGTTTATAAAGTTAAAAATTTATTATATGCATTTTTTTCCCCAAATATTTCTTTATTAATGCTTAAGAATGGTGCATATCTTGCTTACATATTTCAAACATAAATGAATAAATTACATCATTAATACCAGACCAGTCTTCATAAAAAGTTTTTTTTTAGTCAACACACATTAATAATAATAGTGTATCTTTCAGATACGACCTAAAATATATTATATATTTCAGGCTATGTACTCGGCATATCAGTTGCTATAATTTCAACATGGGCTCTTGCATGTGTTGTATATTTAATCTTCAAAAGGTAATCCATTTACAAGTTTGAACCTGATTTTAACAACTTTTAACAAAGAAATAATAGAAATCGTACATTGTTAAAAAAAGAAAACAAACCCATTTTTTCCGCTATTTTCTATTTTGTAAAAAATAATTCTGGTAGACATTGAAATGATTTTTAAAAATACAACTGTATTAACGTGATATAACTCAGAATAAATATTATACTAACTTATTACAACATTTTCTGGTAAAACTACATATAAAAATATTTTTATGTACAGGTTTATATTCAACACTGACAAGAAACAAAGTAGTACTTCAAACCCAAAAGGAAGAATCAAAAGTGGGACACTCAGGTGCAGACACGGATAAAGATAGAGTATCTTATCAGAAATTGAGCGAGATCGAGAACAAGAATTATGAAGAATTACAAATTGAGGGAAATCTTACGTTGAGTTACCCTGAGAACCTTGATATAAACTTGATGACATACACGACATACCTTAAATATGTTTTACTTCTTATCTGGTATGGACAGTCGTAATTGAATTTAAACTTGTGTGTGATTGTTATTATACATATGTTCAGCAAACACGTGCTTTTAGGTACATATGTAATAAAAATTTTATACACGACTACCCATTTTGTAAAAAAAAAAAGTTGACACATTTCTCTTATAATACCTTTTACCATAGCGAGTTTACATATATACACTGGAATCAAATTAAGTATAGGACTCAGTTATAAACTTTTCCCCAACAATTTGTGATATAAGTAATTGATAAATAAGCATCGAGTTACTTCAGTTGATACTTGAGGAAAAAATACAGTGAAGCTTTTTTAATAAGACATGCACTGGGAGACGAATTTTACAGAATGCTAATGGGAAATCCGTATTTCCATATTCAGCTCTTTGAAGACTAGTAAAAATTTCAGGTTTTTTGGATGAGACCTTAAAACCGTGGACCCATATCGCTGTATGAAAAACATTTGCACTGAGTGAATTTGAAACCCTTTACCGGTATATGGTGACGTCCTTATCAGATTGTGAAAATTCTCGAACTTGGCGTACAATATCTACGATCAATCAAAAACAGCAGATCAATTGAGTTGTCTTTTGTAAATCTCTCAACAATACGCTCAAGTCAATACATATACAAGTATACGTATATATAATGACACAAAACAAAGGCACTATTTTTAGCTTAACAGCTTATACTAGAGAAATCAAATTAATAAACCTGCATCAAAGATCGTTTTTAACAAAGAATACACGTAATGAATATTAAGTATCTATAAATACAATGCCCAGCTCCCTAAAACATAAGATGAACTAAGTGTCCCTTTTTGATTTCTCCAAATTAAATATAAATGCTCAGAATGCGCCAAGAATATTAATCAAGGGCATCATAAAAACAAACCAATACAACGAGAGGACGCGATTCGATCATGTTTTTTTTAATGTTAATAAAAGATCAAAGGTCGCAGGCCCGGCATGGGGTTTTTTCGGTGAACATTCTGTCGACTGAATGATATAATTAAATCTTATAATTACATTTCAATTCTTGTTTGTAATACATGTACATATAAACCAGTAAAGATAAAGTTTCATCAAATACTCATGGTTACATTATTAGATCACTCAAACTTAAAATGAATATCGGTGTTGAAGAAAATCAGGTTACGGAGAGGTCTTGCAAGATAATATTGCAACGAGGCATAGGTACTATGAGGGTTCAAGTTAAAAGATTTATGGTTTAAAAGTAATTAAAGGTCCAAGGGTTTTACTTATTATAACTATGTGTTAACACATTTATATTTAGTTTTTTTGAATTGATATTATTTGAGTAAGATTTCATAAAAAAAAACATGTCCCTTTCCGAGAAAAAGTAAAAATGAATTTTAATGGCTATTTTTACACGTATTTATTCCAAGAAAATTATTTGAAAAATATTTACAACAAAAAAAAATTAGCCGACAAGGAAAACAAACTTTATAAAGGCAATGAATATTGTACAATGCATATATATTGTTAACTTAAACTACAATATAACCTTACATAACTTTGTCTTCCTTGTCATTTTTCTTAAAGGCAAGTTCTGTAAAAATAAAATGAATTTGCTCACAATAACCCAGCTAACACAAAAACATTTTTAAAATGTTTTTAAAACATTTTCAAAATGTTGCGAAAACATTTTTAAAAATGTTTTAATCACGTGATTTTGTATGGTTTTTAAAACGTTTTAAAACATTTTAGTGAAATATTTCAGCAAAATGTTGTCAGAACATTTTCTTAAAATGTTGCAAAAACATTTTCAATAATGTTTTAATCACGTGAATTTGTATGGTTTTTTAAACGTTTTTAAAACATTTTAGTGAAATATTTCAGCAAATGTTTCTGGAACATTTTCTTAAAATGTTACGAAAACATTTTTGAACAATGTTGTAATCGCGTGATTTTGTATGGTTTTTTAAATGTTTTTAAAACATTTTACAAAATATTTCAACAAATGTTATCATAACATTGTTATAAAATGTAACAAAAACAATTTCAAAACCTTTTTTTTCACGTTTAATTTGTTTGGTTTTTAAAACGTTTACAAAACATTCACGTCGAGTTTACAAAAGTATTTTTACTGAAATTTTACTTTTCTCATTAAATAATGATAAATTTATATTTTAAAAGAAATAAACACAAATTATATTTAATTTTTGAACCTTTAATACAAACCCATATTCAATATGTTAATCACATTTAAATTCCATTCTCGGTACAAGTTTTAATTTATTTTCTTTCAAGTCACCGGGTTTTTAAAGGGTGAAAACGGCTTCTAATCCATTCACTGAATTTTAAAAGAACAGAATCACAGAAATCATATGTTCACAGAGCGGCGGATCTATAAGACTTAGTTAGAATCACATACACTGAAAAGGCTGATAAGGAATCCGCCCCTCGGAACGAATTGCACAACCTGTAAAGATAAGGAAAGTTGTGTTTGTATCAGCGTTCTCCATCTAATGTATCTTAAGATGATCAATGAAAATATACAAAAAATATTTTAAATAATTATATCAAATTTAAGTTCTTTCCTCATTTGCATTGAAAAAGCAGAAAAATAATTACTATGACAATATTATTGAAGAGTAATAGTATTTACGTACACCTTTGCCTTCACCAAAGGCGGGTCTTTTGAATGGGGGAATTTGAAAATACGGATGATTCAATCAACACCATGCTGTAAAGAAATTTCATTTTTAAATCAACATATTGTTTGATGATTTTAAAACATTCCACAAAGACAACGAATACTTGAATCAAGGATATAATTGTGTTGACTTAAATGAAACTATGACTTGAATGAAATATTCAAATCAAATACATGTGTATAACCGTAACGCTTTGTCATTTGTTAATGCTACATACCAAGTTTTTGATCATGCACTGGTAGTATAAAAGTAATTTTTAAATGATCTTTTAAAGTCTATGATAAAGGAATAATTCTTACCATTCAAAGTTAATAAATCCCGAAGTTATTATTGTTGTTTTATGTCTTCTCATTCAAATCGGCACGGAATAAGCGCGCACATCTTGTTTACCAGAATTCAAAATTTGGCCTAGATAAGCTGCAAACCACTATACTCTGTAACGCGCTGCCCAGCAGGAAAATTGCATAACAGGTTATCATGACACTGAAACTGAGCAGTGTGCCAATCCCTATCTAATGCATGCCTCAGAGTAAAATTCTGAGAGTGGATCACAGATTTGATTAAGAACATTTTTTAAAAAATACATTAAGAGTTTTATCAAAATAATGCTTTTATTTATATTTTAAATTTTGCGTTTGCCTATCCTTTCATTTATTGATTTTTTGATTTGTTTTAATTAAAGGACTTTATATATGTCTGTTTAACCAATAATCCAAAACTAGAAATCATTATAAAATACCGGAAAAAATCTTTCAATTAAAAAATTCCTCATTTCAACACTATTCTCTCTATATATTCTTTTTTTTTCTTCATAGACTAAATTTTAGGAAAATCGCAATCATACATTATTTGAATGTTTTAAGAATATTTTGAAAATAACATTAAAAAATGTTGCAGCAATGAAAAATGAAGTCTTTAAAAAAGGAAAACACATTAAATTGAATGTTCTAAAATTATTCTCACAAAATACTCTTAAAGTTAATAAATGAATTTAAATTGTGCCGCAATTACATAAATGTTTCAGAAACATTTTGAAAATGTTTCCAAAAAATGTTACAAAAACTATAAATGTTTCAATTGAAGTGAAAATAATTATTTTAGTTAATGTTTTAAATAAACATTTTTACTGCCTAGGCCGAAAAATATCCGGAATTTAATGTTTATAACTAACAGCGATTTTAAGAATGTTTAAAAATATTCTAAAAATGTTCTTTACATTTTTTTCAGAAACGTATAGGCAATGTTTCCGTTTTACAGAAAAAGAATGTTTCATGTCATGTTTTAAGAACTTTTTTAAAACGTTTTATAAGATCTTTAATATTTGGAAGCTATACATACCCTTAGAATAATTTTAAGAAAAATGTTCCTTAAACGAATTAAGAATGTTTCAAAAACATTTTGACAACGTTCCTTCCAAATGTTTCAGAAACGTATTCATGCAATGTTTCAGATTTATGGAAAAGAAATGTTTCATTTCATGTTTTTAGAACGTTTTTAAAACGTAATATAAAAATCTTTGATATTTGAAAGCAAAACATACCTTTTGAAACATTTAAAAAACTTTCAAAAATATTTTAGAAAAATGTTCCAAAAGGATTTAATCATAAGCTTCTTGAAAACATTTTAAAAATGTTTTTAAAATGTTATAAAGAGAAGAGGAAATAATTTTAAAATGTTTTTAAAATGTTTAGTCTGAAATGTTTCGAGAAAACCTTTTTACAACACCAATAAAATGTTTTGAAAATGTTTTGTGCTACCTGGGAATCATGCTCAAAATACTGATATTGTCTTCTGGATTTTTAGGAACATATGAGTATGGTAGGTATATATTGTTGCAATTGTATTTGAAATACAATAATTCTGCTTTTAACATGAACTTTTCATTTTAAGCAAATGTTTGTCATGCCTAGCTATAATTATTAATTATAATTATTGACCTTTTTTTCATTGATTGACCTTTATGAGATGTATTGAATAGAGAATATTTTTGGATGAATTTCGGCTGTTATGATGTACCTACATGTATGTAATCCTTTGTGTCTTTGGAATCGTAAACCATTTGTGATGTATAAATCCCAACCATTTCTTTTATCCTCGTAAGCTTGTCACATTTTAGTTACTGATCAAAGAACTTCTATAATAAAAACTAGACCACATGTTATGTTCAATTTTTTTTTTTTTGCTATTAGCCTTATAAATATGTACACACTTTAGATTGTATTGAAAAAAAAAATAATTATACAACAGTACCGGCCAGTCACAACCCAACAGAAAGCGGACCCCAACAGAA